TCTGGAGCGTTGTTGGTCTGATGTGATTGAACAGTACATGATAGTGGTGGAAGTCCCTTTCTACAGCTGGGTGTGCTGGGGTGTGCGGTGGGGGCGCTGGGTTGTGCATTTGGTGTAGTGGGATTTTTTCTGCGCGTGGTGCGGTGTGGCCACGTGCTAGTGTGCGGCTTGGCTTTGGCGTCGCTGTCTTCTTTTTTTTTGTTTTTGGATTTGGGGCTTTTTTGGTTTGGGTATCGGGTCTTTTGGAATTTTTTATTGACCGTGGTGGTATGGTCCGGGCTGCCATGCCGTTGCCTTTGGTTTTTGGGAGATCGAGGTAGTACATGCCTTTCCTGAAGCGTGCTTGCGCTACTGTTTGTGGCGGGTGTGTGCTTGTGTCGAGTACAGTGGCCTGTGTGGGTGTGAACCGGACCTCTCCCCATTGCTCTGCTATGTCGTGAACTGATAGCAGGTTGGATCGCATTGCTGGGTTGGCGATCGCTGGGACTCGTATGTGCCTATTCGTACTGGTCCGTATATGTATCATCCCCTTGTGTGTGGCGGGTGGCGTGATGTTGGTGGCCGTGTTAGTTCGGATGATTTGTCGGAGTGGTTTCATGTTCGTCGTGGGTTTGCGAACATGTGACAGATGCGCTCCTGAGTCGAGGGCATACTGCTTACCTTCGCATATGTCCTCGTCAGTCACCTGTTGCGCGATTGTGTCGTCGTGTTCGTCGCGGGTGCTGGCCACTTTCCCGGTGGTGGTTTTGGGCGGCGAACGTGTTTGCCGAGGGGTTGTGCGCTTCTTATCGGTATTCGTGTACCATTGTTCCGTATTTTCCCTTGTGGCTGCATTGCCGCGTTGGGGTTGATCGGGGTGGGTCGTTGATCCTCTGCCTTGCCTCCGGCTGCGAGTTCGTCGTCTCATTGCCTGGTAGTTGGGGCTGTCTGCCCATTGGTCTGTCGTGTTCATGCCTTGTGGACGTTGTTGCCGGATTTCCTGTTTTTCGTCTTCTCGAGCTTGTATGGATTTGAGTCGTTGGACGAGGTTGGCTATGGTTGTGGGGATTGTGTTGTTCGCGATCCACATGTCGGGTAGGTGTCGCAATGCCGGGTGCGAGTTGAGGCCGTGTATGATGAATTCTATCGTGACAGATTCATCATGTTGAATGCTGGGGTACTCTGCGAGACACATTTTTGTCCGTATGGTTCGGTGTGCTGCGATGTATTCATCGATGTCCCCTCCCGCCTTGATCTTTGTGCGTTGTGCTTCTTGTTTGAGGATGAGGTGTGTGGTTGGCGTTGAGTCAGTGAAGTGTGTTTTGATCTCTGCCAGAAGCTGTTGAGGGGTAACGCTGAGGTCCATGTCGATTGTGCTTGCCAGATCCGCAGGGAGGCTGGTCATGATGCTCATGCGTAGGAATGCACATTTTCTGCGGTATATGGAATGGTACGGGCTCGTTACTGTGGGGGGTGGTGAGCTTTCATCGAGGGCTGCCTCGACGTTGTTGATTATGGCTATGTCGTGGAGGGTTTGCGTCCATAGCTTGTAGTTCGTTCCGTCGCTTGCGAGTGGAGGTAGCTGTCCATGCATTCTTGTGTCAGCTTGAGGCATTGCGGGTGCTATTTCTTGCTGGTTTGACATTTGTGGGCGCTCTGCAGGTGTTGTCGGGGCGTGTTGTGTTGGCTCTACGGGTGTGGTCGGAGCTTGGTGTTGTGGCTCTACGGGTGTGGTCGGAGCGGGTTGTGTTGGCTCTACGGGGGTGATCGGAGCTTGGTGTTGTGGCTCTACGGGTGTGGTCGGAGCGGGTTGTGTTGGCTCTACGGGGGTGATCGGAGCTTGGTGTTGTGGCTCTACGGGTGTGGTCGGAGCGGGTTGTGTTGGGGCAACGGGGCTTTGTGGTGCCGTGCTCTCGTTGTCTTGATCTCGTCCGGGTGGTCGGTATACGAGATGATCGTCTTGTAGTGGTGCGTGGTTAGGGTCCATAACCTGTGATGCAAGATCGATGGCTCGGTTTACTGTGATCGCGTCTCTATCTACCTTATGTAGGGATGGTAGCGATCCGTAGGCCGGCGGCGATCGTGGTGAGTTGATCGCTGTTGTACGTGTGCTACGTGTGTGTATATGGCTCTCATGACAAAGGGCAACGAACGCCCGGGGATTACTTTTTAACCAATGAACGCTCGGGCTAATTAATTTGCACAGCCGGTTTTTAACCATGCCACGCGAGCCTTTTTGACCAGGCGACGCAAACGTTTTCCTATGCGGCGCGGCGCGCCAATGACATGTCAAAGGGCAACGAACGCCCGGGGATTACTTTTAACCAATGAGCGCTCGGGGTATTAATTTGGCTGGAGCCTTTTTGACCAGGCGACCTGAGCGTTTTCCCATGCGGTGCGCTACTGACGCGTCAGCGCAGGTTAATATACACTCACTACATGTATATATGTAATGAGTGTATATTAACCTGCGCTGAAAATTTTAAAGGTAAGGTAGCCTCGTATGAGAGAGAAAATATATCATTGCCGACTCCCAAACATCATTGAGACGTTATGACACTACATGACGTCACACTTTGTCTAGATACAGTACCCTTCTCACCGGCTTAATTTGGTCCACGGCTCAATTTGGGCCACTTCCAAATCACGAGCCTCTAGCCCTCCCCGCCTTCCCCACAGTCCATCTCACCAACTCATACCGCGCACTCCGACAGCGGAGCCCTCCCTCCTCCTCTGTAAGCGACGTTCGGCTCGGCGGTGGCAGTATGCCACCGTCAATGAGAGCGCAAACTCTCACACATAAGAAAAAAATCGCGAAAAGAAGAGAGGAGGGTGCTCGCCACGCCAAGCTTCTTTCGTTAATCCAAAGAGGTGAAAGCGCACGCAAAGCATCCCGAGACACAGGCGTGTCCTGCACAACAGCCACGCGAATAAAAAAGGCGTACGAAAGCTCAGAGACGGAGATACAAAAATTGCCAGATCAAGAAGGCAATCATGCTGGCTGCACGATAGTGTCATCAGCAGACGAGGAATGCCTTTTAGTCGACAGAACGCTTCAAGCCGCGTTGCGTGGATTTGCTGTTGATGTAGTGCAGTGGACACACTCGCCAACGAGGGCGTAAATCTCGCTATGAGGGAAAGCTGTATGTCCAGTCACCACTAGGGTGTTCGGGACCCTCTGTCCGTGGTAGCTCAGAGGTAACGCGAGAATCGCGGGTAGAGTCGCGGTCAGCGCGTGAAGGGGTACTCGGGATCGAGTAACTAGAAGGAATGGGGGTGGCAGTTGCGTCGCCGACCGCTATCGACAGCGTCGAAGAAGAACAAAGCAAGAAGGGAGAAGAAAGAAGGAAGGAGAAGTGTAGCGTAGAAACGTAGAAAATAGGGAAAAAGGTAAAGGAAAACAAGAAAAAAGATGACGACGATGGGTGCAGGTACCAGACTTAGCCAACTAGATAGGAACCGTAGAGGATCTTACCAGAGATGGGGTCCGATCACCTGATCCCTCTTTACTGTAGCGCCTTTCGACACCCGACCTATATAGGCCGAGCGCCGTCGTCGGCGTTGGTTACTAAATGGGTAATTAGATAATTAATTATCGTCATTAGAATTGCCACTTGGCATTAGACGCTCATTAGCGTAGAAACTTGTGGGCACCACGTATGTATACGTGTCGTACACGTGTTGTACACGTATCATATACGTGTCATACGATTGTCATACACGTGTGGCCACGTGCGGTACACGTGGGGTACCTTCCCAAGTGTGCGCGCACAGTACACGTGTGGTGCGCTTATCATACACGTGTAGTATCATCCAAAGTGTGCACGTACACTTTGGATGAGTACACGTGTCATAGACGGGAGCGCACACCATACACGTGTGGGCTCATCCAAAGTGTACGCGTACACTTTGGATGAGCACACGTGTGATACACGTGTCAAAGGCGGGGAACGCGGCCCCGCGACGGCGGTGACCAGGGATAAAGGGCGCACAGTCACTGCACTACATCACCCCCCCCGTTCAGGGGTCGTGCCGATCCGCCTGAAACACGCAATTAATTACCCCGTCATCGTTGACTGCACTGGCAGCCCCGCGCGCGGTTCTATTTCTTCGCGTTTCTTGGCGCTCCCGGTCAGCGACTCTCGCGGCTACGCGCGTACTTGCGCCATCGGCGGCGTTTCTGACTTATCTCTTCGCGGTTTTTTTTCGCGGGCATATTTTTTTCCGCGATTTCTTTTTCCTTCGTGTGCGTTCCACTCTCACAGCATCGACCCTCTCTTCTCCGGCATGTCGCATGCGGAGGGCTTCAAAACGGGAACCATCCGGGCTCCTGCGCGTCGTCGCGTCTTCCGCCACCCGGGCGACTTGATCGGGCAAGACCCGCTTGAGCATGCGGAGCTCTTCGCGGGAGCGCCGTGGCACGACCCCGTGAGCTATCGCGATGACGCGTTAATTACGCAATATATGCGAGCGGGTTCTCCATCCGAGGGGCCCACAGCGGAGGCTGTCCGGGGGAGCAGGAAGAATGCACGCCAGAAAGGGCGAAGAAGTTTGCTGATGAGAAGCGTGTTATTTCTGACGGTACTCGGCGGGGAATGGAGAAATGCCTCTCCCCGGACGTCAGTGGACTCCAACCGGAGGACTCTCGAAAAGAGGACGTCGAAGATGACGAAAAGGATTTTGAACTTCGCCAAGTGGCGTCCGAGGAGACTCCCTTTCCGGCAAGAGGTCCTGTACTCAAGATGAATAACGCCAGCGTGGCGAGCGATACCGTACGGTCCGGTATACTTATTGACCGGGCTCCTCCGGCTCGTGAGATTATGGACGACGAAATGACCGTCGTACGCAAAATTTTTGCGTGACGCGATGGCGGATCGGGTTCACCTTGCTATTTTTTTGCTCGATGAGGAGTTCGCAACGCCATCTGGCGGTAAGTTCGAAGCGGTAGCTTGCGTACAGTAGCGCCATAGGGCGTGTAGTCATTCTTTTTAAGGTAAAGAGGAACCACCTTTGTCTTGAATCTATCCTTGTCTTGCTCGGATGATCGAGTCTGGGACATTCAATCCCTTTCTTTTGCAATATAAAATTACATGGTTCCGTCGGAGGTGACTAATTGGTTCTTCAGTGTCGTCCTCCGGCGTGTAGCCGTACAATCTTACTCGGAAGACGAGTTTACCGTCGTCATCATAGCGATGCGCGACGACGTGGTCGACCACGTATTCTTCGCCATCGATGGCGTGTGGAGACAGCGACTGATTCCTGTCCACTTTTCTTGTCGTATTGTTAGACGCGGCTCCTCGCGGGTCCCTTGAGTGTTGCTCCGTCACTGCAGGGACGTTTTGGGCGCCTGTTTCGGGCTCCAATTGGTGGCGTGCGTCTCCTTCTCCCTCGTTGGAGGCGGGAGTCGGCTCGTCACGGGGACTGTCAGCGGGTGGTGTAGAGTTTTTCTCCTGTCCGACCGGAGTATCATTCGCCAACCGGGCGTAGCGACAAGCCCCATGCCTCGAGTGTTTGGGACGGCTTTTGGTCGTCCCATCAGAGCGCCTCGAAGGCCGTGGCTGTCCAATCCGAGCTCTGTTCCAAATTCCGGTTTTGGCTGCGCCATTCATAGGCGATGTGTCCAGCAAGTCCGCCAACCCTGTTGGGGCCACCTGAGACTGCTCTATAGGAGAGGTGGATACTTCACCGCCCCGGATACCCGATCTATCGAGACAGTGAACACGATTTTGGTCGTGGATATTCGTCGTGAATGACGTTACGGGGTGACTTGGCTGCACTGGCGCAGGTACTACCCGATCGCGTGTAACGCGTTCTTGTCGCTCGTCCATTCGAGGCAACGGGTATGAATCCCGTATCGTCACGGCATTTAGCCGCCGGTAGTCAACGCAAAAGCGCAACTGCCCGTCCTTCTTAGGCAACAGTGCAACCGGTGAGGCCCATGCTGATTTCGACGGCTCGAGTACTCCGGCTCGGAGCATACAGTCTACTTCTTTCATCTCCGCCTCCCGGGCGTGTGGTCCTGCTCGGTAGGGGTTTTGCGCGATCGGTCGCGTTCCAGTCATCGTGTCGATGTGATGCTTCGTGACCTTGATCTCGCCCAGCTCCCCACTCCACATGGAGCTGTACTTGAGTAGCATAGCCTTGATCTGATCACGATGGCGGGCCGGGACGTGTGAGATATCCACGTCATCCGGATTGCTCGTCATAGAGGTGTTTTCTACCGCCCAGTTGGCGTCCTTGTCGAAGTCTTGTTGGACTTCGTTCGCTTCCTCATCGGTGAGGTCTAGCATTGCAGCCACGCTGACTTTACTCACTATAACAGCGGTCGGATGTGGCAGCAAAGTGCCGATCGTTTGGCCCTTAACGAGCCGATAAGGCGCAATGCCAAAATTGGCAACGAGTACGCGGAACTCGCGATTTGGCTCGACCTGCACAACGCCATTGGAGGCGACGACTTGACTCTTTGTGTAGAGTTTCTCATGCGGCTGTAGGACCATGAGGCCGTGCCGTTTGACGTCACAGAGGCGAATGTTTGCGTTCCAGGCTCAAGCACGACTGGCTTGGTGACGCTGACTCGAGGTGATGTCCGACCGCCTGCCTTGGCGAATTCTTGGGACGCCGGCAATGGCGGTGCGTTCGGCGGTCGCCTGAGTGGCCTTCTCGTAATAGGGATCGAGGACCCGTCGTCGAGCTCGATCGTCTTGCGACGTGGGTAGACGGCTTCCACGAAACGGTCCATGAAGTCACTTCCTAGGACCACTCCAGCCGCCAGGCGCTCGCATACGAGGAATGTTACGCGAGTAATCTGCGAACCAATTCTGACAACCAGATCAATTGTCCCAGTTATTAAAATTGGGTTACGGTTTGCATCCCGAACGTTCAGGGTTGATCCTGGTTTCATTTTCTCCATATACTGCGGAGGTAGTTCATCTTTTCGAATAAAGTTTGGCCCAGCCCCAGTGTCTAGCACTGTGAGCTTCCTTGCCAAAAGTTCCGGGACTAGCCCGTAGTCGGCATAGCACTTGTAATTGCGCTTCGCCATCACCATAATGGTGCCTTGTAAACGTGGGGGCACGTATTTTCGCCATGGTCGGCGTAGCTCGCTGAGCTTGCTCCCATGTTTGGGGTTCAACAGATCCTTCCTTGACAGAATCTTCACTGGGGAGGAGCGACCTTCGCCGCCCGGCGTCAGGCTCCAGGTACCCAGGGAAGGCCCTCTCGCCTCCGCTTCGACGCGGACTCCCGAAGTTAGTTTCCCTGGCTGTCTTTGGACACTGTACCGCCTTGGTGGGCGTCAGTTTTCGCGGCTTCCGCGTTCTGGAGGTCGCGAGCCCGGGTGTTGACGATCTCGTCAAGGGCTCGTAACTTCCAGTAGCTGTCCGCGGGTACGCGTTGCTTTTCTTCCGTAGAAAGGTGGTCGTAGTTCCGTATTATACGAGATGACTCGGCAATCGAGAGTTGAACTACGCAGTCTGGTGCGATATGGTTTGGCCCGTAGCACTTGTGGCAAATTAAGTTACCACGTGGCCTCTCCAAGTTCGGAGTTCCTCGCACTTTAACTTGCCAGCCAGGACGGCCGGCGCGGACATGGCGTGAATGTTCCTGTCCTCGGATGACAGGGGCAGGAACGCGTCCGTACGGGCCCCTTGTGAGCATCATCGACTCCGGGTCGTCCGTTTGCGTCTCGGTGGTGAAGGGTAGCTCCGCCGTCGGTACAGACGACCAATCTCGTTGCATAAGGTGCATCGACTCGCCACCTACGGCTTAGTTTTCGGCCATCGCTGGCGGAGAGTCAGCAGAAGACTCTGTCATCATCATTCGATGTTGTCCGGCGCGCGATAGCGCCGGTCGGGTCGACGGCTTCAAAATGCCGACCTGCCTTTTTCCGCCATGTTCGGCGTTTCTTCCGCCACCGAAGCGGGCCCGAAGACCATCGCCTTCATTCTGGGCGTACTGGACGATATCCAGGAACGTGATTTCGTCACGACGACTTCGTCTCATTCGACGTTCTGTCTCGCGATATCGCGATACGAGAGACCGGATTCCCGGATTGAGCCCGTCAATGAACATTGTATTTCGTTCATCGGCGTCGTGCACGTTACCCCAACGAAACTCCGCGTGCAGCAGACAAGCACTGTAACGGGTTTCTGATTCTTCCGCCTTCTGGCGCATATCTCGAAGATCGAGTGCTGCACTGCTGATGGCGTAGTTGGTCGCATAAGTGCGTAGCAGGTACTGTACCGCTTCGGGCCAGTACGAAATTCCTCCATTGAAGGAGTCCATCTGCTTTGTCGCATCGAACTGCGTTCTTGCCTGGCCTTGCAGGAAATACTTCACTGCTACCAGTGCCTGGGACTCCTTCATGGAGTTGGTCTCACATTCCTCGACGAAACGAGATAGAAAACCCAAAACCTTAATGGGGTCACTCCTGTCAAAACGGAGTTCGGGAGCGCCCGTTTGGATTGATCTAATGTGATCCTTGACTTTCCGGGTTTCTCGCCCACTTCGGCGTTTGTGACGCCTTGTCAGCCTGTAACGGGGATAGTCCAGAGCGCCATCGAAGAGGCGATTTGTGGGTCGAAGCACGTTCAGTCCGGGGTGATTCTGCGCAAGCTGGCGACCGTGCCTCCCGCCTTGCGGCGTTCGTCTGCGGCGCTCATCAGCATCCTCACTTGAGGCTTCTTCGTCATCCGACGGGCCCGACTCACAGTCGTCAAAATCGTCAGAGGACGGAGGGGATGGATTCCAATCAGGATAATAGCGATCCTTCTTGCTCTTGCGCGATTTTCGCGATTCTCGAGATCTCCTCGATTGCTCGCCAATGTGGCGTTCGAAATCTTGAGCTCCTCCTCTCGGAGTATTTTTCCTGGCAACTCGGGGTTCTTCTTGTTCCTCGCGGTCGGCCTCGTCACCTCCACCGTGGAGTTGCTCCTCGACCGATTCGAGTCTTCTAACCATCCGAGCCAGTACATCGCGGGTTGTTATTGTGACTGACCCGTCGATAGCGTCCGGAATCTGGAGATCCTCCAGAACGGAGTTAACGTCGCCACGTAGAAGGCGCAGCTCAGCGTCTGCGCGGTTATGACGCGCCTCCATCGTGGAGATTTTGGCACGCAGAACCGTGAGAGTATCTTCAATATGAAGTATACGTTCGCGAACGAGGGCGACCACTGTAGCCTCGACGTCGGCTATCTTCCCAACGACTGGGGTACGCGCCCGGCTGCTCGCGCTGGGCTTCTCCATTATCGGAGTTGGTTGGTCCTGATCTGGCTTTGCATCCACAGCCACCGCTGGGAGCGGATCGGTAGTTCTTGGGGTATCTCGCCGATCTTGGCGCTGCGTTCGATCGCTATGCGTACTGCTCGCGGCTCGAGTCTTGACGCCAGGAAGGCGGGGTTTTCGTGAATTGTTCATCGTGTGTCCACTCCTTCTAGGTCGGGAGACCAAAATGTAGTGCAGTGGACACACTCGCCAACGAGGGCGTAAATCTCGCTATGAGGGAAAGCTGTATGTCCAGTCACCACTAGGGTGTTCGGGACCCTCTGTCCGTGGTAGCTCAGAGGTAACGCGAGAATCGCGGGTAGAGTCGCGGTCAGCGCGTGAAGGGGTACTCGGGATCGAGTAACTAGAAGGAATGGGGGTGGCAGTTGCGTCGCCGACCGCTATCGACAGCGTCGAAGAAGAACAAAGCAAGAAGGGAGAAGAAAGAAGGAAGGAGAAGTGTAGCGTAGAAACGTAGAAAATAGGGAAAAAAGTAAAGGAAAACAAGAAAAAAGATGACGACGAAGGGTGCAGGTACCAGACTTAGCCAACTAGATAGGAACCGTAGAGGATCTTACCAGAGATGGGGTCCGATCACCTGATCCCTCTTTACTGTAGCGCCTTTCGACACCCGACCTATATAGGCCGAGCGCCGTCGTCGGCGTTGGTTACTAAATGGGTAATTAGATAATTAATTATCGTCATTAGAATTGCCACTTGGCATTAGACGCTCATTAGCGTAGAAACTTGTGGGCACCACGTATGTATACGTGTCGTACACGTGTTGTACACGTATCATATACGTGTCATACGATTGTCATACACGTGTGGCCACGTGCGGTACACGTGGGGTACCTTCCCAAGTGTGCGCGCACAGTACACGTGTGGTGCGCTATCATACACGTGTAGTATCATCCAAAGTGTGCACGTACACTTTGGATGAGTACACGTGTCATAGACGGGAGCGCACACCATACACGTGTGGGCTCATCCAAAGTGTACGCGTGCACTTTGGATGAGCACACGTGTGATACACGTGTCAAAAGCGGGGAACGCGGCCCCGCGACGGCGGTGACCAGGGATAAAGGGCGCACAGTCACTGCACTACAGTTCACAATGCTGTTATGAGCACAGTGCACGCCAAAATAGCTCCGGCAAACACAACGCATATTCTCCAACCCTGTGATCAATTCGTCAATCGATCATTCCAGCGCACAGGGAAACACGAGAACATCTTCTTTCTATGAGCTATTTGTCGTTGGCACATACTGCGTACAAGATCAAACTGGCCGTGGCCGGATACCACTCCATTTCACCGGAGGATGCCAGGGCCTCATTCATAAAATGTGGCTTTTGGCATATGAACTATCGTTTTGTCCATTTGGCGACATTTTAAGGGTCTGCAAATGGGTTTACAGGGGAGCATGAGGATGCTCCTTGCAGTGGCGAGGGTTTTTTGATGGGGCAAAGAACAAATGTGGCCGCACGGGTCACCAACACGAGACTACAATCTAAAATTCATGCGTTAACAGACGGTAGGGTACCAGTGTTACAAGCGCTTGGAAAAGTATATTGTGTCCTTCGGTCAGATTATCGAGTTCGAAACATTCTGATGAGGGAGATACGAGCTCCAAAATGGCGGTTATGAATCGATGAGGACGCAAAAAGGTGGCAAAATGCAAGCGGCGGTAGTGTTGACTTCGAAAGTCTCTCACGCCAACTACAACTTTAAATGTGTATCGCATCTGGAAGACGTAAGCTCAAAGGCTTTTGAATGTCAAAGTCGTGCTTCGTCGAGCAATTGGAATTGTGAAAAAGAAAACAGGGCGCCTGTCAAGGGCGATGGCATTGCCCGTAACTTAGAGAGTAGTTTTTAGGCTTCTCTTGATGATGTTCCCCTAAAACAGTGGCCACGGCGGTCGGCGGTTAGGTTGCAGGAGAACAAAGGGAGTTGTCGTAGAGATCGGCACGACCTCGCGGCGCGAACGTTGCTCGGCCTGTCGCAACTGCGGTGAAAGTGCCGCGGGGGGGTGGCCCAAATTGAGCCGGATGGCCTGGAAAGCCGCCAACCAAAGATTTTTTAGTACCGGGAAGCTGGCCAGTACTGGGGTAAAATGACCGATTTTTTGAAAATTCTAAACCGACCCAAATTGAGCCGGTGAGAAGGGTACCGTTTGGAAAGACGCGTTGCAGTTGCGATGAACTCCTACACTAAATGATTGAAGTGGCAACAGTT